AGGCAGAAGGGAAAACAGTAGGAAGTGAGTGCAGTATTCCAGGCTGGAGATGTCGGTGACCTTGACTGGGGTGTGAGCAGGGGAAATAGTGGGACATGAAGGTATCCTGGATGCATTTGAAGATGAACTCACAGCATTTGCCAATGAATTGTATCTGTGGTGTGAGAAAGATGAGCCAAGGACACCCATAGTTGTAAAATGAGTGGTAGAAGGAAGGGTGGAGCTGCTGTCAGTGGAGATGGGGAGACTCTGGCAGGAGCATACTGAGGAGTGGGCATCACAGGCACTCAGTGGAGATGTCTACTAGGAATGCAGGTGGGGGAGCAGGGGTGGAATTTGGACAGACAACTCCAGACTTTAGGGGAAAGGAGAAATAGATTGGGCTGGAGAAATAGATTTAGTAGGTCACACCATATAAACGATACTTAAGATCTCAAGCATGGATGAAGCACCAAGGGAGTGGTTGACTGTGGAAAAGACTGAGGTCATGGACTGAACTCCTGGACCTCCAGTTCTAAGGGATTGGAGCAGACCACATCCAGAGCAGACTGCACAGTTCTGACCCCAAGTCTAGAGAACACTTAGATAAGGAATGCTCATGTACACAGGGATCACCTGGACGTGGTGCTGAGATCCAGGAAGTCTGGAGTCGAGCAAGAGATTCTTGATTTATAACAAGGCTGGAGCTCATGCTGCTGGTCTCCAGATCAAGAACACCAGGATCCCACATGCCTGAGCATCAGTCTCACCTATAACCCTTGTTATATAAGTGATTCCTTGGTCTTGTGCGTAATACTCTGAGACAGACATTCTGGGAAACGGCCTGCGTATTTTCTAAGCCCCACCAGCAATCCTGTTGCTCAGCCAGATTGGGAACCACTGAGACCAGAGATCAGAGAGTGGCCAGGGTGGGTGGGTGGGGTGGGTTTTCAAACCTTGTTTAAAAGAGGATTTTTCTTGCAAAAGAAAAGGGAGGATATGTATCATCAGTTATGAGATGTGATATTCCCTGTTGTTCTCTCCACCATGGGGTAGAGGCCAGGTACACAATTCAGGATGTGGCTCTCGCACAAAGAACACCCCTGAATGCCGCTCTCTGACACTCGTCCACAGACTCATTTCTCACTCACTTCTTGGAGCAAACTATGGAAACCAGTTCTCTAATTTACACATGACGTAGTATACGTGGTATTGGGGGCTAATTTTATTGTGGGGAATGTTAGGGACAAACTGCCCCAAAAAGCTTCTTGGTACTGCGGACACTGCCCCAAAACCTCTCTGAGCTGCCCACCCCTCCCCCTAATGCTCTGCGACTCTTCTCCTTCCCCCAAGCCTCTTTACATTTCTAAGCCCTTATCTAGGTGCAGCGGTGAAGCCAGCAGACTTCACTTATCACACTTTCCTGCAATAAGCAAACCCCAATTACAAACCATCCAGACTGCACAGGGGGAGGTCCTGCGAAGCATAAATAAACTGTACCTAAACCCTCCTGTAATAAACGTAATAAATGTCACAAAGTGATATATGGCAAAATTAACCAGCAAACAACCCCAGGAGGTGGCCATACCAAAGACCTCCCT